AATGAGGTGGATTAAAAGTGCATGGGCAATCCACAAAGAAGATAACATATTTGTAGTTTACAAATAACATATATCACGAGATAATGTCAAAACGGACAGCTTATCCATTTCCAAGTTTGCAGGATTAAGTCGAAGTGTCAGCTTAAGTTCACCAAAACATATTGAAGCTGTTTATTTTTAGCAAGGAGTGATGCCATGATGGAGGAGACTCCTGAAAAACGGCTTGTAACCTCTAAAACGTATTTTAAAAAATACTAGTGGTTGGGAACTAATGAGCTTATTTATTAAAACAAACGCATTTTATGCTCAGTCGTTAACATTCTTGAGGTTCTTTAACAATTTCTGCCACCTCTCTTAAAAACCTTTACAACTTTGAAAAGGCTAAAGGCAATTTGCCGCTGATTTTGCACAAAATTCCCTTTTTACTACGTACATTAGACGGTAGAGATGTATTAAATTAGCGAAAAGTTTCACGAACTGTTCACAAACACGAGGTTTTAGCACCTGGAGTCTACAGGACCAACATTGTGTCATCGTAAAATACTTTCTATTACCTCGAAATGACTTCTTTAGTCCCGACCCAACGACGGAGTCGGAGCAGAAATTATTACTACGTCAAGTCACCTGTAGAAACATTAAAGCCATAGTTTGACCCTACATTTTTAGACTGCCTGAACCGAAAGTAATGAAGCTTCTTTTAGTGGTAAATAAAATTCGGTGGCGTTTTTTAATCTCTCCATGATTTCGGTAGTGCTGCCCTTACTGCTATGTAATACTACTTCTTCAAGGCTACTAAATACAAAAAATAGTTTTATACGATTCTGGTGGTCAAGTACTAAATGCAAACTTTACAGTAGGTGGTGTGAATCAAATATAGACAACAATCCAGCCTCGAGTTATGTTAGAAGGCAATTAACAAGAGTCAACACCATTTACAAAATTTATGTTAAAATACATCACTAGCAGCTGATTTAAATTTGGACAAGCAAGGTGCCTTTTAAAAGCGATTTTCGCATAAAAATTAGACACCGTGGCACATTGCTCCACCCTGACCATCACCATGTGTGGTCACCGAGTCGTCGCATTGGGGTTCAAAGGGAGGAAGTAATTACGAACCAACAGCGTCGATGAGAGGCACTGCTGATATAGGGCTAGAGAACCTTTTCACCTCAATGGACGCCCATCTTCTGATCCTCTTTTTGTCATGTTTTTAGTTTATTAATAGCCACATGAAGCTCCCGTATAGTTGGATTTTGTGCACTAAGCTCGTTTTTTAATCATGTATTTGGCTGCCCTCGATTTCTACTTCCATCTTACTGCCACGATGTCCTGCTTATACTTGTAGGTTTATTACTTAATGATAGACGACTCTGGGGGTTGCAATGACTTTTTTATTCATACTTGATTATGCAAACCTTGGGATCTGGAGGCAGGAGTTTCGTTCGTTTGCCATTACAAAACCCGTAACATGGCACTTTCTCCTAAATCCCTCCTCTCCTATTTTGTGATTTTGGAAGTCTCGTCACTTTTTGATTTTTTTCCAGGTTTGTTTTTCAGTCAACAGGCAACTTTATTATTGAATAAAGTAGACTGAGTTAACGCTGAAAAGTACCCTCCCATGATTGCATTAAGGAATTTAAGCAGAAGTGCGATATAATTTATTCAAGTGCGTCCAAATCACACCAAATTTCCCCCAGGAAAAATAAAATCACAATATTTTGGCGTGGTCCCAAGAATACGCAAGCACTGTACTTTATGCAAATGTTAGAGGTTTTTGGGGATCACTCGAACCAAAAACGTCTAATTTCGTCTTATTTTGGGGATTGAAAGATAAAAAGTCAAAAGTGTGCTTACACAGTCAAAGACTGACTGCCGGTCAAATCCGACCTAACAAAGAACCTTTCTTCTATACTGACTTTGCACGACTCCGAAAAAATCTCTGACAGACAGAGTAGATCTAGCTCAAAAGTAACTCAACCAAATGGCATTGGTTTTAATAAATGAAATATTTCTGTTGCAAGAAGCATCAAAATACCTAAAATAAGCTCATTAGATCCCGATCATTTGTTTTTTTGAATATGTTTTAGGGGTTACAAGCTGTAATTAAGGAATCACTTCTAAATGTTTTGGTGAACTTAAGCTGACACTTCGACTTAATCCTGCAAACTTGGAAATGGATAAGCTGTCCGTTTTGACATTATCTCGTGATATATGTTATTTGTAAACTACAAATATGTTATCTTCTTTGTGGATTGCCCATGCACTTTTAATCCACCTCACT